TTTATTTATTTTTATTTAGTTATTTTTTTTACATTTTTTAAATTAAATTATTATCTGTGTACATATTTTAACATTGGTCCCCCTATCCCATACATACCCTCCCTCCCCAGAATTTTGTCTCCATTGGTTGTACTTATATGCATGTATACAAGTCCTTCGGTTGATCTATTATCTCCCCCAGTTCTCCCTACCCTCCCTGCTGTAATTTGACAGTCTGCTTGTTGCTATACTGTCTCTATATCTATCTTTTGGTTCATCAGTTTATAATGTTTTTTAATATCCATAAATGAATGAGGTCATGTGGTGTTTCTCTTTCATTTACTGGCTTATTTCACTCAGCATGATGTTCTCCAATTCCATCCAGGTTGCTGCAAATGATGAGAATTTCTTCTTTTTTATGGCAGCATAGTATTCCAGTGTGTAGAGATGTACCATAGTTTTTGGATCCAATCATCTGCTGATGGGCACCTAGGCTGTTTCCAAATTCTAGCTATTGTAGATTGTGCTGCTATGAACATAGGGGTGCATATATCCTTTCTGATCGGTGTGTCTAGCTTCTTGGGATATATTCCCAGGAGTGGGATTACTGGGTCAAATGGGAGTTCCATTTTCAGTTTTGTTTTTTTGTTTTGTTTTGTTTTTTTGAGAAGTTTTATTTTTGTTTTATTTTAGATTTTTTTAATTAAATAATTATCTGTGTACATATTTTAACATTGTCCCCCTCCCACCATACATACCCCAAAACTGCTTTTGCTGTGCCCCGTAGATTTTGGATTGTTGTGTTTTCATTGTCATTTGTTTCCAGGATGTTTTTAATTTCTTCTTTGATTTCTCTGGTAACCCAGTCCTTGTTTAGTAGCATGCTGTTTAGTCTCCATGTGTTTGATTTCTTTGGATTATTTTTATTGTAGTTAATTTCCACTTTTATGCCACTATGATCTGAGAAGATGCTTGATATGATTTCTATCTTCTTGAATTTGAAGAGACTTTGCCTATGTCCCAAAATGTGGTCTATCTTTGAGAATGTCCCATGTGCGCTTGAGAAGAATGTATATTCTATGGCTTTGGGGTGGAATGTTCTGAAGATGTCGATTAATTCCATCTGGTCTAGTGAGTCATTTAGGATTGATATTTCTCTGCTGATTTTTTGTTTAGATGATTTGTCCAAGGGTGACAGCAGTGTATTAAAATCTCCTACTATGATTGTATTGCTATTAATCTCTCCCTTAATGTCCTCCAGCATTTTTTTTTAATATATATTTGGGTACTCCCGTATTGGGTGCATAGTATATATTTACTAGGGTTATTTCTTCTTGTTGGATTGCTCCCTTTAGTATTATGAAGTGGCCTTCATTATCTCTTCTTATGTCCTTCACTCTGAGATCTAATTTGTCAGATATAAATATTGCTACCCCAGCTTTTTTTTCATTTCCATTCGCCTGGAAAATCTTTTTCTATCCCTTCACCCTCAGTCTGTGTGCATCTTTTTTTCTGAAGTGGGTTTCTTGTAGACAATAGATATATGGGTCTTGTTTTCTTATCCAATCTGTTACCCTATGTCTTTTGATTGGAGCATTTAAACCATTTACATTTAATGTTATTAATGATAGGTTCTCATTTGACGACATTTTTATTCTATAGCCCTGTGTTTCTTCTTCGCTTCCTATTTCTTTATTTTTACAGTAGACCCTTTAGCATTTCTTGCATTGCTGGTTTGGTGGAGATAAATTCCTTTAATCTTTTTTTTGTCTGTGAAGCTCCTGTACACCTTCAATTTTGATTGATAGCCTTGTTGGGTACAGTATTCTTGGATTCAGACCCTTCCTTTGCATGACTTTGTATATTTCATCCCATTCCCTTTTGGCCTGATATGTTTCTGATGAGAAATCAGTTGCTAGTCTGATGGGGGTTCCTTTATATGTAACTTTCTGTCTCTCTGGCTGCTTTTAAGATTCTTACTTTGTTGTTGGTGTTTGCCAATTTAATTATAATGTGCCTTGGTGTCAGTCTTCTGGGATTCCTTTTGCTTGGGACTCTGTGAGCATTTTGGATTTGTGTGGGTTTTTTCTTCTCTATCTCAGAAAAGTTTTCTGTCATTATTTCTTTAAATACGTTTTCCATGTCTTCCTCTGTTTCCTTTCCTTCTGGAACCCCTATTATTCTAACATTGTTTTGTTTTGTATTGTCCCAAAGTCCCCTTAAGCTCTCCTCCTGCTTTTTAATTTTTTTTTCCCCAGAAGCTGTTCTAATTGGGTATTTCCCCCCATTTGTCTTCTAGCTCACTGATGCAGTCCTATGCTTCTTCTAGTCTACTCTTGATGCTTTCTATTGAGTTCTTCATAGTAGCGATGTCATTTTTCATTTCTTCTTGGTTCATCTTCATTTCCTCTTGGTTCTTCTTCATTTCCTCTTGTTTTGTTATTCATATCGTCAAATTTCTCTTCCATTCTTTTTAGCCATCCTATGATCATTACTCTGAATTCTTGCTCTGGTAGGTTGCTTGCCTCTAACTAGTTTACTTCCTTTTCTGGTGATGCCTGCTTTTCTTTCATGTGCGGGCTATTTCTTTGTCTCCCCATGGTCTTTTTTCAGGATCTCTGGTTATGTGGTATTCCTTCTCCTTTCTGTAGGTGATTGAAAAACTCCCTTGAATCCACGTGTTTGCACCAATTGGGGCGTTACAGCTGCTCAATGGTCTCCACTGCTATGGGTTTTCCAGGCCTCAGAGTAAAATTGTTAATTTTTGAGCCATGTAATTCTGTGAGAAAAGAAATTATTTGTAAAGAATGTTGACATTTGCAGTAGATATTAAAGATTATATAGGCAAAATGACATTAAAAACAAACCTATATTTTTATTGAGGTTGAGTAGAATATATATGATGTTTCAAAATGATAAGATGTGTCTTCAGTAAAGGCAAAGAAGATCACTTAAAAGATTACTAATTTTATTGGCTATACATCTGGGGAAATAAAAGGCTAGATTCTATGAAATATTATTATTTATTAATATTTATATTATTATTTATTAATAATATAAAAGAGTACAACTGTTCAGGTTTCACAAACTCAAATGCTTCTGGCCATTTTAAATGAGTGAAGCAGGCTGAGTGTGACACTAGTGATGTGACATTGATCAATAACTTGCCAGACATTTAAGTTAAATTTTAAAATATTCATTGTGGCTAAAGAAATACCTTTCCAGGACCCAGATTTTTAACACCTGGATCTCTCATTACTACTTGGTATTTTTAAAATGATATACTAGTAAATTAAGGTGTTTTTTTGTTTGTTTTTGTTTTTTATTTATTTATTTATTTATTTATTTATTTATTTTTGCTTTTCATTATCTAGTATTAAAGGTAGCACTTCTTTGGAAATATTTTATATCTTACCTAAATGTTTCTAGGTATGAAACCTCTAGGAATCTTTATCCCAGGAGTCTATCAGGAATTGAAAATGGTTTACCTATATTTTCAGAAAAGTGTGCTTTCAAAAGAAGCAAGTTGGAGAGAGTTATCATAAAAAGCATTAGGTTGCTATTGATTAGATATTATCCAAGTTACTTGTAAATAACGTAAACTGATAACTTGCCTTGTTTATAAATACTCAAGGTTTCCATTTTAATTGATTTTAATTTGTTGCAAAGATCTTTCTATTAAACTCTCAAAAAATATTGAATAGATCTTGAAACATTATTATGGGTTTGAAAAATCTAGCATTGTACTTGAAAAGTTGACAAAATTGCTTTAGCAATATTCAACTTCATATTTCAAATATTTGCATGTAATATCAATATATATTTTATTGATTTTTTACAGAGAGGAAGGGAGAGAGATAGAGTTAGAAACATCAATGAGTCATTGATCAGCTGCCTCTTGCACACCCCCTACTGGGGATATGCCCACAACCAAGGTACATGCCCTTGACCGGAATCGAACCTGGGACTCTTCAGTCCCCAAGCCAACGCTCTATCCATTGAGCCAAACCGGTTATGACTGCATGTATTATATTTAAAAGTATTTTTGAAATTGTATCATGCCAAAGAATCATGGGGAGGGAAGTTTAAGCATCCACTGATTTTTCATTCAATGGCAAATGTGTATGGAGGACATACAGATTGGGGCAAAAGTTAAACTTGTGACCATGTGAAACAGTTTATTCGTATATTACTAATTATTAATTATTAGAGACCCAATGCATGAAATCTGTGCAAGAGTATACCTTCCTTCTCCCAGCTGCCAGCACTAGCTTTCCTCACAGCCCTGGCTTCGTCCAGAAAATCATCTGTAGGATGCCCAGTCTAATTATCATGTTAACCTTTAATTATTATAGATTGTATTATTATCCAAACAAACAACTGTTCTATCTGCCTATTAGACATGGTGTTCTCATGTTATTGCTCACTTCCGTTTGTTTTGCATGCTAGACAACTCTTAGTGCAATAAATAATATCCTATTTCCTTATATATGTCCCCAGAGATTCTTGATGTCCCACAGAGTTGATGCCATATATTCCTCAAATGTGTGGGAATATGCTTTTAAGAGGAAATTAAGAAAATTCCTTCTGTGTTTTCCAAAAAAATATATTTAGAAGAGTGGAATTGTATCCTATCAAACCATCCTTTAGATTTAAATTCATGGAAAAACAAAAAGAACAATAAAATTAAACCTTTTTAAGGGACTCACATTCTTTAAAAATATTTCAAATTAAAGTTATGATGGTTTATAATAATTCCATGATTAAAAAAATGCTTTTGAAGCAAGAAAAACAAGCAGTTAGACTTAGGTCAGCACTAGTCACACTTGGTGAGCATCAGAATCCAGAATCATAGAAGAGTGTTACAACCCAGATTCCTGGCTCCATCCTGGAGGTTCCCATTCAGGAGGGCATGGGCGACATCCATGCTGCTGACCTATGGACCACACTTGGAGTGACATTGATTTAGAGATGCCCCAAGAAGCTGAGTTTGTGCTAACCATGTAAATTATGTTTTTCAGAAAAATAATCTCCACTGTTTCAGAAGAGCGCAGTGCCCAGAAACCAATGTCAGTTCCGTACAGATACAAGGTGATGCAGATTATTTCATCAACCACCTTGGAGTTCCCAGTGTGCAATTTGCTTATGAGGACATCAAGTCATTACAGGTAATTCTTTCAAAGACATGAACCCCCACACAACCACACACAATACAGCAGACATGCAGAATTTGATTTTACCCTGGCTGTTTGTCTTTCTTATCAAGTAGGTCACTATAGGAAACTGCTTCAATTAGAGATTTATTCTTGTTGTTCAGAGGCTTTGTAACAGTATTTGAAAACATCAACTCTTTTCAATAGTGTTGAATTCAGTTTATAAATAGGTTTATATTGTCACTCACATTTCACAGCATGCTTTGCAACAAGAAATTCGCAGTAGTTGGACTAACATCAAAACATAATTATAATCTTCAGTATGCGCAGAAACAGATGACATGTGCAATAGAATCTCTTCTTGCCCAAGGGGAAAATGCATTCCATGTGCTGTATATTAATGTGTCTTGAGGATTAGCTTCCAAAAGTTTGTCAGTAGTTTGCCTGCTTAAAAAGATACAACTTTTTTGTGTGAAGATAGGTCTCCTCCTCCCATATCACATAGGCATGATTCACCATCATAAAGTCTGTGTTCATCCATTTATTGGACTGTAAGCATTTTCATCTCTCTCAGAATTGTGTCACAGGAAATTGTTTCTCTGTAGATATAAACCAGTTGAGATATTTGATTTTCTTTTAACAAATTGTGCTTGCCTTTTGGGGAGTTCTTTAAAAGCCTCTGAGGTAGCCTGGTTGAGGTAATTTTTATATTAACTAAATGGTGGCTACAAATAGAGTAAAACCTGCTTTGTTACACAATCATAGATGTCCTTGAAAATTTGTATTTAAATTATATTTATAGACTAAACTTCTGATATTTAATGTCTTAATATCTATTAGCTTTTAGCAATACTTTGTTCTGTGTTTCTCTGAATATAGGTTAGCTCCTCTGTAAACAGCTGATATATCTAACATCTTAAATTCATGGAGGGATAAATTCTGGGTGAATTCTATTGTGATGAGATAAATTCTTAGGAAATACAAAAATAATCATTATGATTTTCTGCTTTTATTTTTTTAAAATTTCTTTATGACTAAGGTATCACATATTTGTCCTCAATCCCCCATTCCCAATCCCTTACCCCCCCACACACTCATACCCCCAATTGTCCTCGACCACTGGTTAGGCTCATATGTATACACATAAGTCCTTTGGTTGATTACTCCCTTTTATCCCCACCCTCCCTTTGAGGTCCAACAGTCTTACCCATGGCTCCTTATCTCTGGATTTGTCCTTGTTATCTGCTTTTATAGTTTTGGGTTTTCATATGCTATTGTTGTTTGAACATGAGGTACATGTGTAGCAGTATCTTTTCTTTTAGGCAAGTCCATGCTCTATACCTTAATAAAATCTATGTCTTCAGAAATAACTCATTTTTTTATTTTTCTGCTTGATATTTTGCAATATCTCTTTATCACTTCCCCATCTCTGCTCATCCAACTCCTGTCATGTCAACACATTGAATGGTATCTTTTATTCAATACAGGTCTGATTCATCTTGGTTGAGTTTTAAGCCAAGAATTTAGAGAAGCAATATAGTATAGCCTTAAGAATGGGACTAATAGTTGATTCCCAACTCTGGTACTTGCTTGATACTTATTAGATACATGATTTAACTTTTTTCGGCATTATTTTAGAAATAAGGAACCATAGCATAGTTATGCATAGCATAAATAACACCATGTATGTAAAAAACATAGCTAATATTAAACATGCAACAAAGCCTCTATCAATCATAGCTATCATCACAATTGTTATTGCCCAATTGTAGTTCCAAATGTTAGTGGGAGAATTTCTAAAACAATTAGGTAAGAACATATTAGTAGAAGGGAAGAGCAAGCTTGTAAACTGTTAAGGAAAACAAGTTTCTGAGGCAGAAGAGGTGGTATTTGATTAGGATCAGCTGGAGGATCTGAGGTATCAATAGAAAGAAATATTTGAAAACCAATATCAGTGAAGTTCTCAGAAGGTACTATTATCACTGAAACTCCTTAGGCTAAAGTATACCTACTGGCTTAGTCAAAACAAGTCAATTAGTTTTTCAAATATTACTCAAACTGTCTAACTTTTATCAACAAAATCATCCTACCTATGCTAATAAAAGAGTAATATGCTAATTAGATCGGGAGACCTTCCAGATGTCCTTCAGGACAAAGCCATGGTGGCAGGGCTGAGGCAGAGGTGGTTAGGGGCGATCAGGCTGGAGGGGAGGGCAGTTAGGGGTGATTAGGCTGGCAGGGGGATAATTGGAGGCAAGGAGGCCAGCAGGGGGGGCAAGGTGAGGGCAAGCAGGCTGGCAGGGGTCAGTTGGGGGTGAGCAGGCTGGTGAGAGGCCTGTTGGGGGTGACAGGGTGGCAGGCAGAGTGGTTGGGGCAGATAAGCAGGTAAGCAGTTAGGAGCCTGCAGTCCTGGATTGCAAGAGGGATGTTTGACTGCTGGTTTAGGTCCTATCCCACAGAGATCAGGCCTAAACTGGCAGTTGGACATCCCCCTAGGGGTCCCAGAATGGAGAGGGCGCAGGCCGGGCTGAGGAACACACCCTCCCTTCCTCCCCTTCCCCCCTCCCCCTGCACAAATTTAATTGGCCCTGATTGCCGGCCAGACCTAGGAATCCTACCCGTGTACAAATCTCCAGTTTTTATTATATTTCTCCAATGAGCAATTAAAAGAGAATCCCCTATGCTTTATATTGTAAAAGATAACATTGTTTCTATTACTTTAGCATGGGGCATTTTTAAAAATGGATTTGTCCCTTAAAAAATATGAATGCTCAAGGTGAGGTAATTTCGTGTGGTGAACTCTCCAAAGAACACATAACCCTTTGCTTTCAGTGTTAACCTATAGTAATTATTTCTATGTGTTAAAGGAGTTGTGAACACTGAGAGGCTTTATCCATGATATGAATATTTATTCTATGTCAATTAGTAAAGTACATAAAATTTTAGAGGTTTTTTTATGAGTTTGAAAGTAGATTCAAAAATATAATGTATACTATATGTATTATATACTATGTTATACACATAATGTAATATCTAAGATAATATCTACCAGCTATTGAGTACTTACTGTGCTGTGTCTTTTATGTCAGCTCATTTAATACAGTATTCCTATCAGTCAACTATTATTATTAACACTTTTTTAGTGCTATTATAGATGAAATTAAGTTTAAAATATAATTGCTTTTCAGGGTCATAAAACTAATAAATGGCCAAGACAGAAGTTGACCTCAGATCTGTTTAACCATAAGCTCATGTTCTTAAAGATTACACTAAAGATCACATGTTAGAAGCCCAAGTGCAAGATCCAGTGTACAGATATATTTTATTTGCTCTGCACTTTATTGAAAAATGGGATTCTGGAAACATCGGTTTCTTTTTCCCATGGACACAATCGTCTAAATTGCACAATACTCACTGGCTTGCCATTTTCTTTATTAAAGAATCTGACATATTTGTTCTAGAATGCAGTTAAGAATAATATTGCTTCAACACCTGTTTCTATTAAAAAAATGGGACATGAATGACCAACCTAAAGGGCCACATGGTTTACCAGACTTGTGTAAATCATATCACTTACCTGCACCCTGCAACAACTGAGTTCATTATGTCTACATTCATCTTGAGTAAAATAGTTGAAGTGGATAATTATACAGTTCCTTTCAGTTCAAAAATTGTATATGTATTTTAAGTGAAGCTACTTTTATGATTTTGCTTATATTTTTGAGAAAGTATTTTAAAAAGTATTTGGATGTTTATAATGCAAACCTTCATATATCTGCCATTTTTTTAACCCAGTAAAATTAATTATGAACCCCTCATATTCCATTTAAAAAGTGAATAACGATCACATAAAAATATTTCACTGTAGGAAAATAAAATATTTTTATGGAAATAAGGGCCATTATTAGTTCTAAAATTATATTTCGATTAAACCTGACATTTTAAAATGTCTATCCCAAATATCTCATGTTGTCCATATTCTCATCATTGCCTTTTCCCTATAGCTTTTCTGGATGCTTATATATTGCATAAGATTGCTTGAAGTACCTTTCACCTATAGTTTTTCTTGGTGCCTTTCTTCTAATTTTCCAATAATTGAATTTCACAAATGCAAAGAAAACTATGGATTTTCCAAATACTAATATCATTCCTTTTCATAAAATATCGTCCTGTTAATTGAAAAGTCTCTAGTTGTATGCTTCATTTAAATATAGTTTTCAGTTTGTAAACATTGCCGCACCTATTAGGAGAGGCATTCTGTGCAGACTAAATACAATGCAGAGATTGCTGAAAAGGAAAGGAAAAGACAGATGCTGTCTGATTAAAAGTGCAATTTATGACAGGCTGGTGGTCCAATGCACATTTCTTCTGTCACTTAGCAGCTGTTTCGCATAATTTCTGTTCCAGATCAGTATATGTACTCCATAGGGCATGTCAGAGGTTCTGCCTTCTTCCGTTTATCAAATATCAGCCCGTGTACCAGCAAGCTGTATACCATAAATTCAAGCTCTGGTTCTTCACTCTGCATAACCTTATATTTTTTGCTCTTCTGCGTGAAGCATTATATTTTAAACCCAATTTACCTCTATAATGGAGGACTTAACATTTAAATGATAATGAGACAAAGGAGTATTATAACTTATATGGCACGATTTCTTGCATGATTGTTTTAATATCATTTAGTAGCTCAGCAACTGAGAACCACGTAGCATAGGTGTTTAAAACTCGTATTAATGCCTAAAGTAAATAATGTTTACTCAATTTTAATTCTTATGCAGCAGCATGAATGTGTATGAATGTTTGTATTTGTGTAATTTTTCTCTTTATTGATTAAGGTATTGCATATGTGTCTTTATCTGCCCATTGTCCCCCACCCCCTCTCATGCCCTCACCCCCCCTTTTGTCTGTGTCCATTGGTTAGGCTTATATGCATGCATACAAGTCCTTTGATTGACCTCTCCCTCTCATCCCCAGCCTCCTCTACCTTCCCTTTGAGATTTGACATTTCAATCGAT